TTTTTTTTTTTTTTTTTTTTTTTGTGTTAAAGAGAGAACTTTGCTCATGGAATTGAGGTCAATTGAAACAATTACAGTGTTCATTTATACACTGAATTAAATAAGAAAGGTATGAATTTGATAGAGATCGAGTTATATGAAAATATTGTTTTGTTTTTCAAGAAGATTTATGTTTCTTATTTTATTCATGTTATACTATTATTAATTTTTTAGTCCTTTTAAACATAAATTCTACTTCACATTCTTTCTAATATATATGTAATATTACTATTACATATATTTGAAAATGTACCTTGCAAAATCTCATTCTTTTTTGTTTTTTTAATTCATTCAAATCGCTCTCTTTTTGTAACTTTGATTTGAGCACTTATATTAACATATCAAAACAATTTGTAATATAAGTTAAAGAATAGAACTTGAACAGAAAAAAATGGCACAAAATTGGAAATGAGAGAAGATATAAGAAAAATTCCATAAAATAAAATTTTGCAAGTGAAGCAATTATAGAAGAAAAAGTTAGTAAAGACTTATGAAAAAAAAAAAGAAGAAGAAAAAAAGCTGTTAAATACTTTCTCTTTTTCATAATATTTCATGCAGATCTTATATACTAAGAATGACTATAGTTTGATTTTTTTATTAAAATAATAGTTGATACTTTTTAACCTCAATTTTTAAGGATTATAAATTCGGTTAAATAAGGATTTAAAATAACTAATGAAGATGAAAAAAATAATAATAAAAGTATGAGATAAAAATTATTTGATTATTAGATTAATAATTAATAAAATTTATTTTAATAAAAGAAAATCAAAATGTTGCCCTATGTATAAACAAAGTCTATATATCCAACAATGAATAATTTATGGACAGTGATTGGTACACCCTATATTTCAACACCCAGTTTAACACCCTCCGGTTTAATCATTAAAAAATTACTATTTTTTAATTTGAAATTAAAAACAGACAATTATAATGATACAATCATGCACACAGGATATATACAGGAACCGACTGAATTGATTGTATTTATATTATATTTTTAATGATTAAACCGAAAGGTATTGAACCGAAAGGGGTACCAAACATTTCCCATAATTTATATGTATATATATAATATGCTATATTATGCATTAAGTAAGGTATGTATTTATTTAAAATATAATATAATATAATATTTATTTCTTATTATTCTTTTCAAAATGCTACCCTATGTATTAATTAATATATATGTATTTACAAAAAATATAATAAAAACCAAAAACCATAATATAGGTGAAGAGATTGGCTCATGTAATCATTTTTTTTTTTTGTTTTTTTGCAACATGCAATTCAATTCTTTTGGTATATGAAGAGACAATGCCATTTAGATAGCGTTTTCTTCTGTATTACTATATACATTAATTTCTCTAGGTAGATGCAGAGGCAAGACCGTTTAAAATATATATTTACATAAAATATAATAAAAGCTAAAAACCTGCTAATTAAAAAAAATAAAAAATAAAAACTTATATGGTTAGGAGATTGATTCATTGAATCGTTTGTTTGTTTTTTTTTTTTTTTTTTTTTTTTTTTTTTTTTTTTTTTGTTTTTTGCGGCACATTAATTAATTTCTCTTAGGAGATGAAGAGATAAGACCATCTACAATATATAAAAAAATGCCACCCCATGTATTAATTAGGGGTATGCATTTAAAAAAAAATTATAAAAACTAAAAACTGTAATATAGATGAAGAAATTGGTTCATCTAACTTCTTTTTTTTTTTTTTGTGCAACATGCTAATTTATTTCTTTCGGTATTTGAAGACACAAGGTCATCTAAATAATGCTTCCCTTTGCATTAACATGTGAATTAATTTTTCTTTGTAGATGAAGAGGCAAAACCATTTAAATATTGAAAAATAAAAAAAATAATCCAACAAAAAGAAAATGAAGCGACAAGTATCAACTATTTAAATTCTCTACAAGAGACTAAAATAGAATTAATATGGTCAATCTAAATGAGACTTTAAAACCAATTATTTAAGCAACCTAATATAATCTAAGTAAAATCAATAACAAAAAGTTGAATCCATTTTGCATCTCAAAAATAAATAAATAAATAAATACGATTTTAAATTTCAATCAAATAACAATGACTACTGCAACTAAATATATTCTGAACAACTAAAAATTGGAAAAAGAACAAAGATAAAACAAAAAAGACAAGATTCAATGTTATAAAATCAAAAATGGTATCAAATTTTGATTACTTGAAAGAGTTTTAAAACTCAAATTTACAATATATAAGAGCTCAATTTTTCGAAATTGAAATACACAGAAAGTACAATTTGAGTTGTAAAAAAACAAAATTACCTTAAGGTGAAAAAAACATATTTTGGTGCAATATAAATTCGAAAACATATTTTCTAATATGTAATAGAAAATACTTTAACATTTTTGTCTTCTAATTTAATTAACAAATAAAATTTGCATTTCTTTAAAATAATTTTATCATAAAAATATATTTAAAAAAGCCACAAAATATAAATATAAAATAAAAAAAAATCAAATCCCATATATGCACGGGTTAAAATAACTAGAAAATAAATTAATAAAAATAATATTTAGTTTTATTTGTTATTTGATTATAATTCTAAACCAATTGAAATAAAAGATTTGAAGAAATTTAATTAATTTTTTATTTAACTTTAGTTCTATAATTTAAAGAAAAGAAACTATCGTATGAATGATTAATTGAGATAATAGTAGAAAATAAAGAACAAATTTTTTTGGATTATGAGACGAAAATTAATAATGAATGTTTTATGAATGTTCTTAATATTCTTCCTTTTTAATATGACTTTATATAACTTTTGCAAAAAATACTGTCATCAATTATTAAAAGTAATTTAAATTTAACTTTAATTGCTTAATTTAAATATTTTAATAAAAATCAATATAAAATTTAAGAGCTAATAAAAAATAATATAAAGTGCAAAATTTAATATAAATAACTAAAAAATAACCCATACAAAGCATGACAAAAAAAAAACTAGTTTAAAGATAATTTTTTTATAATACCTTATGATATAATTTTATTATCATTTAAATTATTAATTTTTTATTTATTTAAAACTTGTAATATATATATATATATATTTTGATATTAATTGCACAATGAAAAACAACAATTTCTTATCCTTATTCCACTCCATTCACATATTATGTAACTCGAACTTAAAATTTCTTATTTTCAACGAAAAAAGATGACCACTAAATTATTGAAGTTGTTGACAAAACTTATAATATTAAATATATATACTAATTTAATAATATGTAAAAATTATATATAAAATCATATAAAATCATTCCCCTATCAAATGTAACATGGGACCTAAAATTTTGGAAAAAATATGAGAACTAAAATTTTGTCCGAATTGACACTTTTCTTGGTCAGTCCGGACTGATTTCTTGTTTTCTCCCCTTTCATTTATTTCAGTTTTATTAATTAATAAGGAATTTTATCTCCTTAAGTAGAGAAAAGGGCAATCCAAATCCAGTCCCTATGCATTCGCGGGTCCTCAGACAAAAACTGTTTTCTCTCCTCCTCATTCAATCACTTCATTTACCCATCTACACCGCAACCAACAAACATAGCAAAAATTCGTCCCATCTCTCCTGTTCCTTTTCAGGTTCGTTTTCCTATTTCATTTTTCCTTTTAATCATTCATTCCCCTAAGTGGGTTTCAGACTTTCAGGCGTTAATGTCGTATCTATGTGTTCTATTTTCAATTATTAGATTGTTCCATTGGGTTGCTATTTCTTTTTTCATTCAAAACAAATGCTAGATTGAATATCATAATTCATGCACGTTATTTGGAACGTAAATCACGCTTTGGAAATTGGGTTTCTCTTCATTTGATCTGGTTTTGTTGATTGGAGGCTGAATTTCATTAGCAATTGTTGATGGGTAAGGATGATGTATTGGGTATCTTTTTTTTGTGTGTAGTCAATCGTTTTTTTCTTGTTAGCGTAGAATTTGGTGCGAAAACAGGGAAAAAAATGTCTAGTTATCAGGGTGTAATTGTTTCTGATCCATGGCTCCAAAGCCAGTTCACCCAAGTGGAGCTCAGGACTCTCAAATCCAAGGTGATGATTTTCTTTTCTTTTCTTTTCTTTTTTTCTAGAAAAAAAAAATCTATTATGGGTTCTCTTTATTCATTTCATAATAGTATATGCTTGATTGGGAATCAATCTCTGAGAAGTGAAATGGTTATTGTTTTGGTTCTAGTTTCTTTCTGTTAGGACTCAATCTGGTCATGTCACTGTGGGGGAGCTGCCTCAAGTATTTGCAAAATTGAAGCCCTTTTCCGAAATGTTCAATGAGGATGAGATTAAGGCTATCCTAAGGGAGTCAAGTAGCAATATGAGTGAAGAAATTGATTTTGAGGCCTTCCTTCGGGTTAGTCTTTTCAACAGACTGCTCATTTACCTTGTTTTTGTATTTTTTTTACCATACTTTTGTTGTTTAGATTATATTGGATTCTGGTTTTGTTAATTATAGAATAAGCAAGAAAGCATTGATAGGTTTTACAAACAGGGAGGCCTGTTTTATTATTCTTTGGCTTTTTGACAAGCTCTTATCTCCTTTATTTGCGATTTATGGAATTTGGTTTTTTGGCAGGCATTCTTAAATTTGCAAGCCCGTGTAACAGCGAAATCAGGCGATTCAAAACATTCTTCATCCTTTCTCAAGGCTGCCACAACTACTTTTCACCATACTATTAATGAATCTGAGAAGGCCTCCTATGTTGCTCATATTAATAACCACCTGGCAGAAGATAAATTCTTGAAAGATTATCTTCCCATTGATCCAGCTACAAATGCAATATTTGATCTTGCTAAAGATGGAGTTCTCCTTTGGTATTATTTGAACTTTTTTGTATGTTATGTGCTCATATTTGTTGATTCAAGGTTTAATGTCTCTTGATGCTTTTCGTTTCTTTATGCAGTAAGCTAATCAATGTAGCTGTTCCTGGGACCATAGATGAGCGGGCTATTAACACAAAAAGGGTTCTTAATCCCTGGGAGAGGAATGAAAACCATACACTCTGTCTTAATTCTGCAAAAGCTATTGGTTGCACGGTGGTTAATATTGGCACGCAAGACCTCGTTGAAGCAAGAGTAAGTTTCTGGACTACATCTTCCAGTGAGCTGTTATATATATATATATATATATATATATTTTTTTTTTTTTTTCCTTGTCGTTAATACTTTTCTTAGTATATTAACTGTTTTTATCCACATTTTTATTTTGTAGCCCCATTTAGTACTTGGATTGATTTCCCAAATTATAAAGGTATTAATGGCAAACTTTCTTTATATTCATCTGTTCTTTGCTTTAGTTCACAAAACCAATTGTGATCATTGATGAGTTATTATATATATATACTTGCACACAATTACGCTATTAAACATGCATTCTCTTTTATATTGTTGTAATAACAGATTCAACTCTTAGCGGATCTCAATCTAAAGAAAACTCCTGAACTAGTGGAATTGGTTGATGATACCCAGGTAAGAGAATCTGGCTTTTGGTTTTTTTTTTTTTATTCCTTTCATATATTTTTTATTTTTTTTTTCCTACTTCAAATACTGGATATTTTTTATTTACTTGTTGGCAAAAACGAAAGATGTTATTCTGAATTTCCCTAAGTTGTGCAGGAAGCAGAGGAGCTCATGAGTTTAGCACCTGAAAAGGTTTTGCTGAAATGGATGAATTTTCATCTGAAGAAAGCTGGCTATAAGAAGCAAGTTACTAACTTTTCTTCGGATGTGAAGGTGAGATATACCAAATTTTATTAATGATGAAGTTTTTTGTGAAGTGGAACAGGTTAGAAAATATGGTGGGCTTAGAGATTTCAGGGTTGTTTAGGATAAATTAAAGTTGTGAACAGCTAGAGAACTATGGGGTGTTTTAGGTACGGAAAATAAAGAACGAAAAAAAGAAAGAGAAAAATTAGAATGGGCCTAGGAGTCATGCCTAGGAATCCTTAGGCATCACAGCTAAAGAGGATAGGAAACCCTTAAGCATCAACCCAAGGTTGGTCACATCACACAACCAAGATTGCATAACACAATCTCAAGAGAAAATTTTTGCTAAAAAATTGTCAATATTCTCAGTTGACTAGCTGAATAATGAAAGAAGCTACAATCATATCTATAATCCTAAAAGTCCTAACTCAGTAAGAAATATAATTTTAATCTTAACTAGATCAAGACTCTCATTAAAATTAAAATACTAAGAAATAAGACTCGTAAATAAAACATCTAAGCCCAATAAAGTTTGGAAATTAATAATACACTCAGAAGAATAATAATTACATAACAATCCTAAATAATGTAAATAACTCTTCTTTCTAAGCTTCTTTTTGCTCATCACTTGGTTTTGAAATTAAATACTAGTTGGCTTAGTCTTTATTTGAGCTATAAATTCTTATCATGGCTTTCTTGCATTGAACTATCTATTTTGGGCCCAAGCTTCATAAGATAAAGATACTGCAAAAGTATATTTACTGTGGCATTTTATATGCCATTGAAAGTTATAAAATTGCATCATTTGGGACAAACTTACCTCGAGAACCAAGGGTATAGCTCAATTTGGGATTACGTAGTTATTAACTAGTTATTTGTTGCACTGAGTTTATTCTCAAATATGTGCTGTTTCATTTTCTTAGATCCAGTGCATATCTCACAATTTACTTGCAGGATGGAGAAGCTTATGCTTATCTGCTAACTGCTCTGGCACCTGAGATTAGTTCCCCCTCAACTTTGAATACTACGGATCCAACAGAAAGAGCAAATATGGTTCTTGAGCAAGCAGAGAAATTGGATTGTAAAAGATACCTCACTGCTAAGGATATTGTTGAGGGCTCACCAAATCTTAATCTAGCATTTGTGGCACAAATATTCCAGCATAGGTGAGAAATAATGTTTGCATTTCCTGTACTTTTATCTCTCTGAAGAGTATGTTTCTACTCTTGTAAATATTTGTATTAAGTTAACATAATTTTCCATCCTTTTTATTCCCATTGATATTCTGAATTTCCCATTGACTAGGCTTTTGTACTCTTGGTTATATATTAGAGTAATCTCTACAATTAGAGTCAAATATATGACGGTAATGGTGGAAATTTCTGTTACTAGCCTGTAACTTTTCCTCTGTAGGAATGGCTTGACCACAGACAACACAAAATTTTCATCAGCTGAAATGATGACTGATGATGATCAAACTTCTCGGGAAGAAAGATGCTTCCGACTTTGGATTAACAGTCTTGAAACCGCTACATATGTCAATAATCTATTTGAAGATGTTAGAAATGGGTAGGATTTATTCTGTTGAGTTTTTGTTTTCCTGAAAATTTCCAGCAATTGTGGAATCTTGGTTGATGTTGACTAATGTGCATGTTGTTGACCTAATTTGCATGTAGGTGGGTTCTACTAGAACTTCTTGACAAAATTTCCCCTGGATCAGTTGCTTGGAAGCAGGCAAATAAGCCTCCTATCATGATGCCCTTTAAAAAGGTTGAAAATTGCAACCAGGTTGTAAATATTGGAAAGGAGTTGAATTTCTCCCTTGTGAATGTAGCTGGCAATGATATTGTTCAAGGAAATAAGAAACTTATACTAGGTAAGTAATGTCCATCTTTTATTACCTAATCAGGACCTCATTGTCTGATTCTGTTCAATTCTTTTTGTTTATTGCACAATCAATTCAAGAGAAACACTTTTGTAGAAGATTGCATTCTTTTTTCTTCTATTTTAATGCAAATTAAAAAAAAAACAAAAACAAAAAGAGAGAAAGAAAAGAAAATTTACCAATTAACAGGAAATTGTTAGGAGCTGATGGTACTTTCTACTAACAGAAAATTGCCATCTTTTAGAGAGCCGTAAAACCTGAGAGCAGTCCTTTAGCTCTGCTCGATAATATTTAGCCAGAGGTCAGGTTTGACTATAGCTGAGACTAGGCATGGTTCAATTGAAAAGGATATTCCTTAAATTTTGCATTTATTGACTCAGACAGGCATTATCATCTTAAATAAGGACAGATTAGTTTTGTTTAATCTTTGTATGCCTTATAAGGTTCTAAATAGATTCTTGTGAGATTTGTACCATGAACCTCGTTATGCCTTTGTCTATTGAGATGAATAGAACTTGAACCAGTTAATCACTCAATTGTTGGGTCTCCTATTGTCAAATATAGCTGTATTTTAAGATGTCTAATAATTGAATTGATGTTGTTTTAGATCCACATACCAGGGCCTTTTGAACACAAGACATTTTAAGTGCTATTCAGTGCAGGTTGAGATAAAATTCTTTTGAAAAGATTCTGAGTTGTCCACAAAAGTCACACAAAGTAGTCAACTTATTTATGATGCTTTACATTTTGGAAAAGCACCTTACTATTTTTGCTCGCCTTTTGTTTGGCTCCAGCATTTTTATGGCAACTCATGAGATTTTCTATGCTGCAACTCCTGAAAAATCTGAGATCCCACTCCCAAGGTAAAGAAATTACAGATGCTGACATTCTAAACTGGGCAAACAATAATGTGAAGAAAGTAGGTAGGACCGCCCAAATGGAGAGTTTCAAGGTAATGTACAAAATGACCTGCTATTACTGTCTTCACTATGACCCATAAACTTTTTTTTTCTTTTTTTTTTTCAGCATTTGCTATGACACATGATTGATTGTCTACATTTCTCTGATTTTTTGCTGACAGGATAAAAACCTTTCAAGTGGTGTTTTCTTCCTTGAGCTGCTTAGTTCTGTGGAGGCAAGGGTGGTGAACTGGAGTCTTGTTACTAACGGAGAAACTGGTATGGAACTATTTATAATAAAATCATAAAATGTAATATCCTTATCATTTGAAGTGCAATTAACATTAATGTGATATTGCACAAGCAGCAAAATCAAGATAACAGAAAACCTGCACTTTCTGGCTTACTATGGAGAACTTTTGCAGGGACAAATGATACTGTATTACTATGTTGTTGTCTCATTCAATTGTTTTTTATGTGGCAGAGGAGGACAAGAAGTTGAATGCAACATATATAATCAGTGTTGCAAGGAAGCTTGGTTGCTCCATTTTCTTATTACCTGAGGACATCATAGAGGTAGATATTGTTCTTCTCAGGATTGCTTTTGATCTGTGGTGTGATGGCTGATGGATCAACTGGCATGCCTTCAAGACCACCACCTTTTTTTATTTTTTTGGTGCTTAGTTCCATAGAAATTTCTTTTACCAAAAAAGTATGATGAATACAATTCTTGGCCTGTTACCTAATTCATGCCATAGAAAATTTCCTCATTCTATAGATCCAAAAAACTAACTAATTTAGCAAATTTAAACTGGATATTGGCTGGATGGCTGCTCTTCTCTTTTTTAGATTTGATTCAATTCAACCCAAAGTGGTCATTTAAAAAGTAGAAGCTGGTCTACTACATGTCTGCTGATATCACTGAGCTCCTGTTTTTAATGCTTGAAGTGGGTGAATCCAATACTAAATTTATATTGGTGAATACAAGCCTAAATTTAAATATTTCATCTGGCTGATAATTTTTTTTTTTTTTGGTTTGGTGCTAATTTTAACCGACATATCTAGGTAAACCAAAAGATGATCCTCATCTTGACTGCAAGTATCATGTACTGGAGCCTACAAAGAAAAGGAAATGCAGATGTAACTACTGGAGGTAATGAGATTCCTGTTGATCAGAGTGAGGCAGCTCTAGCTGGTGAAGTCTCCAATTTGAATATCGACAATACTGCTTGAGATTCTGAAAAGTTGCCTGACAAATAATGATCCTAGAAAATTTGATGATTCATACCGTTCATTTTGTCAAAGAACTTGTTCTCTTATTTGTTTTTCCTAGACCACAGAAGAAAAGAGTAAGTCCTGTAGATTTACCTCTTGCGTTTTTAGTCCTAGGTATATTCTTTCTATCAAATATTGCAATGTCTATGCGGAATGATGGAAGGGAAGGAGAAAGCATCAACAAAAGGCTTCTCACTATTATTTTTTATTGACAATTCTCAATTCAATCATATTAAAACCAGCTGGCATTGCTTATTGGTCTGAGTAAAATATTAGTTCTGCTATTGGGCTGAGAGGGATAACCATAAAGCAAAAATTATCTTTTTTAACAAAACAATGTCATTTTTATTGATATGTTGAATGACACTAATTACAAATTGTGCAGTAACAAGTTGATTTTAGGATGATTGAGATTTTACATACAAAATGTGATATCCCAATCATTATTTGCAATTAGTTAAAGAAAATAGGTCCCAATTTGCAATAAGTCTAAAGTTGAAGTCTTTCACTTCATTTAGAATTAAGGATAAATATATAATATTTGTTAATTTGGGAATTGCATGTTAATTTAATAAACTGCAATCTTAGTGTTTATCTAAGGAGAATTTAATACCTTCTAACTATCAACAACTTGTTAAAAAAAATTAATAACTGGTGGTTGGGTGAGAAGTTGGCCAAGTGGGGAGCATTTAAAACCCACTTCCCCACTTGATCGGAACTTTCGAGTCATATTACTAAATTGGCTATTTCCATATATTTTGCTTATAGCTGGACCAAAAGAGAAGGAGAAGGACGGTGTAGATAGGTTAAGCAGATTGGGAGAATATTGAAAAATCCTACCAATTCAAGATTTTTGAAGAAAGTGTGTAGGTATGTATGGTTTTTAATTTTAAGTTAAAGTTGTCAAATAAAAATAAGAAGGTAAATAAATTAGACAGAACATTACATATATATATATACAAGAAATTAAGGTGCTGCAAAATAATTTATATAACATAGAGAGAAATAGATACAAAGGCACAAAGAAGCAGAAATTTCATGTACTGAAGTTGTGAAATTTCTATAGTTAGATGAGTTCCAATTTTGGGACTAATATATTATGTGTATCACATTCTCTGGATTATATATTATATATTTAACTTGAGCCCTTCATTATAACTTATTTCTATGAGTTTTACAGACCGAATTAAGCAAACATTGAATATGTTATGCATCACCATGCACCATAAATGATTATTTTTGTTTTTTTTTTTTTTTATGTAATTTCCTTAGAACTATGGAGAGTTTGGACCCCAGCTTAAGCTTGGGGGTTAGAACAGTGAACTAGTGGACCTCTACGCAGTAGGTATGTGCTATGACTAGCTCTAGCACCTAATATGAGTGCATGCACATTTAGTGGACTCCATAGTTTGTGTTATCCCTATTATGATGTGATATGTTTGTGTGATCATTTATGACTTTAATGCCTTAATTTTCTACAATGTTGATACAGCTAAGAACTAAAGGAATTTTTCTGCACAAGATATTAAAGATTAAATTAGCAGCTTAGCTTGAGATTAAGAATTATACTTACTAGGCTGTGACCTCATGGTGTTATTCCCACCATTACAAACAGTAGCAGTGAAGGGTAGCTATTATTTCTAAGAGTTTTGTGGGTGGAGACCTTATGTTAACTGTAAGCTATACTACCAAATTTCAGTAAGGCAAATTTGTATCTGCCCAAAACTTTCATTTGGTTCTATAACTTTAAATTTACTTGTACTGTATTGAGCCTAAGAATAGTATATAATCTGAATATTTTGATATTATAGATTTTTTTCTGTATTTTTTCTTTACTTAGCCATGCAATACATATGGACCTATGGTTAGTCTAGAGTGGATGTTACAAATTGGTACCAGAGCCAAAGTTTTGCTAAGATACAGATTTGCTATGTGTAATTGAGTCTAGTGTGTCTTAAGCATTATGTCTAGTTAATATTTGAATACTCCTCACATCACAGTATCAAAGAAGACCTAGAAGAATAATAGTAGAAACTACTACCACTTCGGGAGCAAACATGTCCTTGGAGGAAAAGGTGGAAAGTTTGCAAAAGAAATGCAGGAGATGAATAGTCGGCTTATGGTATTTTTACAAAGTCAAGTTAATCAAAATCAAGTTAGCCAAAGTCAGAATAATCAAAATGTAGGGAATCAGGTACAGTAGAGTAATAATATGGTTGTGAACACAAATGCTGAGGGTAATGAACAACTACCCTTGGTAAAACAATTTCAAAACTTGCGCCCACCCTTCTACAAGGGCACGAAAGATGCTAGTAATGCCGAAATTTGGGTAAAAAGGTTAGAAAAGATTTTCAGGATTCTAAAGTGTACTGATTAGCAGAAGGTGGAGTTAGCTGTTTGTCAGTTAGAGGGTGAAGCAGAGGATTGGTGGACCATTGTATAGGATGGGATGACCAAGAAGGGTGGATAGGTTAATTGGGAGAAATTTTTTGAACTTTTCTTTAAGAGATATTTTTCAGAAGTTGTTCTAGAAAGGAAAGAACAAGAGTTTATGAACTTAAGGTATAAGGTAAAGAGAAATGACTGTGGATGAGTATCAAGCAAGATTTAGTGCTTTAGCTCGGTTTGCACCTCATGTGACTAAAGATGAAGCTAAGAGGGCTAGAAAATATGAGAAGGGCTTAAAGGCATTTCTAAGGAACAAGGTTGTTCCTTTGAGACTTAAAACCTTTGATGAAGTCTTAATTACTGCACAAGTTGTTGAACAAGATCTAAATGAGCAGAAACAAGAAGGCAATGATCAGAAAAGTAAGGGAAAGGCAGTGACTACTTCATAGATCCAAAAAAAGATAGAATGGAAGGGAAAAAGAAAAGCAACAGAAGGATTCAAGCAGACTTCAGAGAGTTGCAAACGGTGTGGTCAAAACCATGGGGGCAGAGAATGCTATTGGGCCATTGGCACTTGTTTTAAGTGTGGTAAAACTGGACACCTAATCAAGGACTATCCAGCCTTGAAGATAAGCAACCAACAAGCCATGGAGGTTGTAAAAAATAAAAGAGAAAAGGTGACTTGAAGGGTTTTCACAAATAGCAGGCACAACAAAATCCTACTGTTGTTAGAGGTACATTGCCAATCTCTTCTGGACTAGCATATATTTTAATAGATCCTGGATCTACCCATTCCTTTGTTGCACCTAAATATGTTGCATATTTACATGAAAAGTCAGGTAGGTTAGAACACATGTTGGTAATGAATACACCATCTAGGGAAATTTTATTTTCTCAAATTGTTTATAAAAATTGTTCAGTCATGTTGGGTGATAGAAATATGCCAGCAGATTTGATTTTGTTAAGGATAGAAGAATTTGATGTTATTTTTCAGATGGATTGGTTAACTAGCCATTTTGTTATGGTCGACTGTTTTCACAAATATAGTCACATTTCATGTCCCAAATCAGTCTGTGGTTGGGTTTCAAGGTGAAAAACAGAATGTTAACCCTATGTTAATTTCTAGTATATAAGCACAAAGATTTTTACAGTAGGGTTGCTAGGGATATTTAGCTTACGTGTTTGAAAATAGAGAAAAGTCAATTTTTGTTGAGGGAATCAGTGTGGTGGAGGATTTTGCAGACGTGTTTCCTAAAGAATTGCTCAGATTACCTCCACAAAGGGAAATAGAATTCACCATAGACCTAGTTCCTAGAACTACTCCTATTTCTCAACAACCTTATAGAATGGCACCCATGGAATTAATAGAATTAAAGAAAGAACTACAAGAGCTGCTTGATAAGGGTTTTATCAGATTAAGCACCTCACCTTGGGGAGCATCAGTCCTTTTTGTGAAAAAGAAGGATGGGTCATTGAGACTTTGTATTGACTATAGAAAACTTAATCAGGTGACAATTAAGAATAAGTATCCACTTCCCAGAGTAGATGACTTATTTGATCAACTTCAAGGAGCTAAGGTGTTCTTTAAAATAGATTTGAAGTTAGGCTACTACCGCTGAGAATTAAATTGAAAGATGTGTTGAAAATAGCTTTTAGGACTAGGTATGGCCATTATGAATTTTTGGTTGTGCCTTTCAGGTTAACCAATGCCCTTGCTGCCTTTATGGATTTGATGCATAGAATTTTTCAGTTGTACCTAGACAAATTTGTTATTGTTTTTATTGATGATATTTTGATTTACTCACCAAATGAAGAAGCACACAAAGAACATTTGACCATTGTGCTACAAACATTGAGGGAGCAAAAATTGTATGCTAAGTTGGACAAATGTGAAATCTGGTTGAATAAAGTCAGTTTTTTGGGGCACGTGATTTCTGGTGAAGGTATTTCAGTTGATCCAATCAAGATTGAAGCTATTGTGAAATGGGAGAGACCAACTACAGCCAATGAAGTGAGAAGTTTTTTGGGTTTAGCTGGTTATTACAAAAGATTTGTAGAGGGTTATACAAAAATAGCTGGCCCTTTAACTCAGCTAATTAGGAAGAACTAGAAACTCGAATGGAATGAGAAGTGTGAAGAAAGCTTTCAAGAATTAAAGAGAGGATTGACTTCAGCTCCTGTTCTAACCCTACCAAACAGCAAGGGTAGATTTTCTGTATACACAGATGTTTCTTTAAAGGGGTTAGGATGTGTACTGATGCAACAGGGCAAGGTTATTGCTTATGGATCCAGACAACTTAAAAATCATGAGAAAAATTACGCGATGCATGATTTGGAATTGGCTGCCATTATATTTGCACTTAAACTGTGGAGGCATTATTTATATGGTGAGGCATTTGAAATCTTTACAGACCACCAGAGTTTAAAATATTTGTTTTCCCAAAAAGATTTAAATTTGAGGTAGAGAAGGTGGATGAAGTATTTGACTTATTACAATTGTAGCATTGTTTATCAGCCTGGAAAGGGTAATGTTGTAGCAGATGCTCTTAGCAGAAAAAGCAGAGACAGCTTCACAGCAATGTTAGTAACAAAGTGGAAGTTGTTTAAAGATTTTAGTGAAATGAATTTGAAGATACTGCAACAGCAACCTAGATTAATTATCGCTAGTTTGAGAGTACAGCCAGAGCTATTGGTTAGAATTAAAGAAGCTCAACAAAGTGACACATAGTTGTAGGGGTGCTTGAATGATGAAGAAAAGAAGAAGAATATGAGAATTAGAATAGCTGTAGATGGGTTGATCGGATTAGGAGACAGATTGTGTATTCCCAATGATGTAAAGTTGAAAAATGATTTGTTAAAAGAGGACCATCAATCCAGATTTATTATACATCCTGGATGTACCAAAATGTACTAGAACTTGAAAAAAGAATATTGGTGGCATGGTATGAAGAAAAATATTGCAGAATTTGTAGCCAAATGCCTGACTTGTCAGCAAGTGAAAGCTAAACATTAGAATCCAACAGGAGAATTACAACCTCTTCCTATTCCTAAATGGAAATGGGAGCAAATCTCTATGGACTTTGTTTGGGGACTACCTAAAATTAAAAGGCAGCATGATTCGATTTGGGTAGTTGTTAATAGGCTGACCAAATCAGCACCCTTTTTACCAACAAAAGTGGATGACTTACTTGATAATTTAGCTAAACTCTATGTTAAAGAAGTGGTGAAGCTTCATGGTGTTCCAGTGAGTATAATCTCAGATAGAGACACCAGATTTACAACAAGATTCTGGAGGTCATTTCAAAGAGCAATGGGCACACAGTTGAGAATGAGTACAACATTTCACCCACAAACAGATGGGCAATCAGAAAGAACAATTCAAACCCTTGAAGATATGTTAAGAGCTTGTGCACTTGACTTCTCAGGTAGTTGGGATGAACGTCTTCCATTAATCGAATTTGCCTACAATAACAATTACCATCCTAGCATAGGAATGGCACCATTTGAAGCATTGTATGGCAGCAAATGTAGAACCTTAGTTTGCTGGACTGAGGTGGGTGAAAAGCAGATGTTGGAGCAGATGTTAGGACTTGAGATAGTTCAAAAAACAACAGAAAAGGTGTAATACCCCAAAAATTTCTAGAATAATTAAGTGTGAGCTAGGGACTTAATTGTGAGGAAATAATATTGTTGAGCTTAATCATCAAAATTTTCAAACTTGAGGGACTTAAAAGAGAAAAGAATTAGGATAAGGATGGCTGATTTTTTTTCCTTCTTTTCTTCCTCAGTCGCGTGTTCTGCTCCTCTTCTTCTCCCCTGCACCGAACAAGAGCCCCAAGCCCGACAGCACCCACCCCTTGAGAAATGGTAAGAAAACTTGATTTTTCCTTTCTTCTCTTGTTCAAGAACAAGATTTAGAAGTTGGAATCTTCCCCCTCTACAAAAAATTCAGATCTGCTTTGTTCCTCCGTCCGTTGCTCTGTTTGTGGGTGTGATTTTATCTGGTTTCTGGTAATGGAAACAACCACTAATTCCTCTTTGCTCCCTTGATTTGGCTTGGGTTTACTCTAATTTCTTTTGGTTTCTCCCAATTTATGGTAGATCCCGAAATTTTCCCCCAATTCTCGCCGGCTTCCCCAACCTATAGCTCCAGTTTACTTGCTGAATTTTTTGGTAAGTGATGGCTCCCTCTAAGTCCCAAATTGCCCATTAGTTGCTGAATTTAGTCCAGTTAATTGCTGCCCCTGTGCTGTCTGAATTTCTGCTAAATCAGGGGATGAATTCCAGTAGCATTAGAACAAATTTAAGCATTAATTCAAGTAGAATTTATATGATTGGGTGTTAATTGGCTGTTGTGAGGTTCTAAAGAAAAAAATCTCGTGAATTAGCCATTGATTGCCAAAGCTAGTTCCTCCATGTTGTTGTCCGTGAATTGGAGATTTTTGTATATATGTGTTATGTACATATATATAAATGCACAATCTAATTTTTGTGCTCAATTTTAGATAGAAGATAAATAAGGATAAATAAATAAATAAAGAAATAAGATTTCTTATGGGATTAATGGCCGGTAACAATAGGAAGGTTTAAATGTTTAGTTGATATTGAGAATAAATTGAGATGTCTGGTCATATGGTTATTAATTCTGGAATACTTTGGTTAGGTTCTTGATTGTTTTATCACCCTAGCACTTGGAGTGAATTTTCTGTGTTATGCGATTGAGGTAAGTAAATTGTGGTAACACCCTTCGATTTCAAAGCAAAAGCATATTTTAAATTGTTTTTGAGATGGTGGCAAGGTTTAAATTGATTTTATTAGCACTGAGCATGATTGGTTTGAAATGGAATTATTATCATTTTCATTGAGTAAAGCATGCCTACCTGGAGTTTACTTAACTACCCTGATGATCTGAGAATTTTTGTAAATTATGATTTTCTTGTTAAATCCATGCCCACATGGAATTTTTCCTGCAAATCCTGCATGGTTTTATCTCTAATATAGTCATGATTACTGATTGTAGACGCCTGCTAATGGGAGTTTGTAAATGCTAGCACATGTTGACAGGTTTACCGATAGGATCGGTTCATTCTATAATCCTGCCAATGGGATAATACATTGGTTATTACTGATGCCTACCAGTGGGCTAATACATTGGTTATTATTGACGCCTGCTAGTGGGAGTTTATTAAACACTGGCCATGACTTATAGATGAGACTACTATTGAATCTTGTTCTGTGTTAACAGTTTATCATTAAACGTTTTGTTATGTTAAATTGTTTATCAGGCATGCAAAAATTTAGTCACGGGCTACCCATATTTTTACTTACTAAGATATCTTATCTCATAGTTTTTCTTGTCCACCATTTCAGGAAGTAAGACCCGAGGCACGGTTAACCAAGGGGAGTGACGAGCTAAACGGCTAGTCAGTATTTTGGACTTAGATCCTTTTTGGGGTTAGGCTGTTAGCCACACATGCTTGTCATAGATATTAAATGACAAATCATTTTTTTGTATACTGAATTTTCCCTGACTGAATTTTTTTGTATAAAGTCATGACTGTTTTATAAACTTTTGGTATATCTAGACTAGTGAAATTTTTGGAAATTGAAAGCTAAATATTAACCGAGTTTCTAAGATTTAAGATATGTAAATTGGCAATTATGAACATTGTAGGTTCCAAACCTTGTGCATTTGTGGGATCCATTCACAAGTGAATGGCATCTGTTCCACTCCTAGTTTGGGGTGTGATAAAAGGTGAGATTGATCCAATAGAAATTGAAAGCAACCCAAGATAGGCAGAAGGTTTATGCAGACTAGAGAAGAAGACCACTGGAGTTTAAAGTGGGAGGACATGTGTTTTTAAAGGTCTCACCTTCAAAAGGCATAAACAGATTTGGCACGAAAGGGAAATTGAAACCGAGATTTATTAGGCCCTTTGAAATTCTAAAAAGGGTTGGGGAGGTAGCATACAAGATTGCATTGCCACCTAAGATGTCCAGGTTGCATAATGTTTTCCATATTTCAGTTTTGAAAAAGTATAAGCCAGATGCCTCACACATCATTAAGAACGAACCTTTACAGCTTCGGGAAGATTTAAGTTATGTTGAAGAACTAGTACAAATTTTAGAAGGGAAGGAGAGAGTGTTAAGAAACAGAGTTATTCTTATAATTAAAGTTCTTTGAAAACACCACACTAAGGGAAAAGCTACTTGGGAACTAGAAGAGCAGATTAAAAGACATTATCTTCACTTGTTTTCTGGTAAGAACAGTTTTGGGGACCAAACCCTTTAAGGAGGGAAGAATGTGATATCCCAGTTCTTATTTGTAATTAGTTAAAGAAAATAGGTTCTAATTTGCAATAAGTCTAAAGTTGAAGTCTTTCACTTCATTTAGAATTAGGAACAAATATATAATATTTGTTAATTTGGGGATTGCATGTTAATTTAATAAACTGCAATCCTAGTGTTTATCTAAGGAGAATTTAATACCTTCCAGCTGTCAACAACTTGTTAAAAAAAATTAATAACAAGTGGTTGGGTGAGAAGTAGGCCAAGTGGAGAGCATTTAAGACTCACTTCCCCACTTGATCGAGACTCTTGAGCCATATCACTAAATTGGTTATTTCCATATATTTTGCTTATAGCTGGACCAAAAGAGAAGGAGAAGGACGGTGCAGATAGGTTAAGCAAATTGGGAGAATATTGAAAAATCTTACCAGTTCAAGATTTTTGAAGAAACTGTTTAGGTAAGTGTGGTTCTTAATTTTAAGTTAAAATTGTTAAATAAAAATAAGAAGGTAAATAAATTAGACAGAACATTACACACATATATATATATACAAGAAATTAAGGTGCTACAGAATAATTTATATAACATAGAGAGAAATAGATATAGAGGTACAAAGAAGCAGAAATTTCATGTATTGAAGCTATGAAATTTCTGTAGTTAGATGAGTTCTAGTTTTAGGACTAATATATTATGTGTATCACATTCTCTGGATTATGTCTTATGTATTTGACTTTAGCCCTTCATTATAACTTATTTCTATGAGTTTTATAAATCGAATTAAGCAAACATTGAATCTGTTATGCATGTTTATGTGCTGTAAATGGTTTTTTGATGTAATTTCCTTAGAACTATGGAGAGTTTGGACCGCAGCTTGGGCTTGGGGGTTAGAACAGTGAACTAGTGGACCTCTGCGCAGTAGTTATGTGCTATGACTAGCTCTAGCACCTAATGTGAGTGCATGCACATTCAGTGGACTCCATAGTTTGTGTTATCACTATTATGATGTGATATGTTTGTGTGATCATTTATGACTGCAATGCCTTAATTTTCTACAATGTTCATACAGCTAAGAACTAAAGGAATTTTTCTGCACAAGATATTAAAGATTAAATTAGCAACTTAACTTGAGATTAAGAATTATACTTACTGGGCTGTGAGTTCATGGTGTTATTCCCACCATTACAGATAGCAACAGTAAAGGGTAGCTGTTATTTCTAAGAGTTTTGTGGGTGGAGGCCCTATACTATCTGTAAGCTATGCTGCCAAATTTCAATAAGGCAAATTTGTATCTGCCCAAAACTTTCATTTGGTTCTAACTTTAAATTTACTTGTACTGTATTGAGCTTGAGAATAGTATATAATCTGAATATTTTGATATAATAGATTTTTTTTCTATATTTTTCTTTACTTAGCCATGCAATACATTTCTTACTTGATGGACCTATGGTTACTCTAGAGTGGATGTTACACAAAATAAAGAAGAAATGTAGAAGATGCCAAAAGAAACATATAGGTTGAATAGCTTGCGCAAAATGATTGGCAAAAATCCGAAAAAAGAGCACACCATTCTAGGGGGGATTATTGCAACCATCAAATATGTTAGAAACACTAATATTTTAAAATTTTCCTTCAACAATATATGAAAATATCAATATATTTATTAATAAATATTAATTATTTTATTAATTATTAATTATTAATTACAATGATTATAAATACTTTTAAAGATAATATTTTAAGCATTAGCATTTTTGTTGGTCGCCATGACCATTTCTCCATTCCAGTGTTTGGGTCTAAACATTTAAACATCACCGAAAAACAGTAAATCTATAGATGCAGCTACAAAAAATGTATAGTTTTACAAGTCCAGAAGTTCGCATGGTGTAAGGATAAAAAAGAAAAAAAGAATAATAATAAAGATCATGTTGTGCAATCTTGATTAACAACAGCAAGATTATCTGATTTTTCTTGTTCGGCCACAAGCATAAGCATCTCTAGGCGCTTATCAAAAAGTAAGGCACTTTCATCTCTCTTGTCAAGCTCAGCAGCTTCAGCTTCAAGCCATTTTTCTCGCAGATCGTCCAGAAGATTTCCTTGGTCTGCATTTACAACAGCTCCTGGAGCACTTGGAGCCGTGGTTCGAAGTGAGGAATCTCCAGATGGCGGAGGCAGTGTCAAAAGCATTGCTCGAAACTCAGGAGTGTCAGCAAATGTCTCAAAGTTACAAGCAATTGAATCCAGACAATATTCCCGTATCTTGAAAACACCATACCTGCACATGCAATTTGAAATTAAGAGCCTATGGCATGAGAGGACATAAAAACTTTCAATATATAAAGCCACCTCTTTTAAATAGTATTCAATTTTTTTTTTTTTCAGTTTTATCACCTAATAAAACCCCTTTTATTTGCTTATGGATTCCAAGACACTACTTCTGCATGATAATATGGACTGCTAAGAGGATTCTACAGTTTCAATCAAACAATTCAATCTTCACAGGTTAAGGAAAACTAGCACCATGTGATGAGGAACAAGAAGAAGCTAGTAAATAGTTATTTAGATTATTTAGAATTCTTATGTAATTATTATTATTATTCAAGTGTTATTTTAGATTATGATTAGTTTGCTAGTTTTATTAGGAGTAGATTTTTTAAAAAAGAGTCTTATTACTATTTGAGTATTTTTTTTATTGAGCCTAAGTTCAAGTCTAATTAGAATAAGAATTCTATTCCTTGTTAATTTAGGAATCTTAGGATTATAAACATGCTTGTAACTTCATTATTCAAAGTAATTGAATATTCAGAAATTTGCAGCAAGAACTCGTGATATTGTGTGACACAATCTTAGTTGTGTGGTGGGACTAACTTTAGGTGCGATGTCTAAAGAAACCTAGGTGTGATTCCTAGGATTTCCCTACCTTTCTTGTTAGTATTTCTGTTTGTTTTCTGCTTTTCAATACCTTAAACAGCTGCTTTAAACCCTACTTCACTGTTCATGCACACCGCTCACACCCTAAGTTACAGTAAACAGCCTTTAAATTCCAAGCCCATCATACCCCCGATACTGTTCCGCATCAGTATGTTAAGGCATGGTGAATATAGCAATAATATATTGGGATTGGGGGAGTTTACTAGCAATAAGCTTCCCAAGACACCAAGTCTGCAACTAATCCTTAAACTGCATTTGAACCATCAACTGATCTTTCTTATGGGATATAAAAGTAAAATGCAAAATTGGTTTACAAACCCAGAACAGATGAAATCAAATATCTACTTGGGATATTAAGAAAGCAAGACATAAAATTAATATAACTTTTTTGTTTTTGAATGAGGGCAATTATCTATTAATACTACATTTTATATGGGGTAGGGGGAAGGGGAGCTGGGGTCAAACTCTAAACCCCCCAGTGGTGTTCCCACTAATGAAGCAGAGTGGTATCACTCCACCCATCATGTCGAAAACAACAAAAAGATAATATACTAGGAAAAAGTAAGGGAAGATGAGGAGCATACATGTCTGATAATATCAGCCAGTTGCACAGTTCTGCAGGTGAGACCACCTCTAACTGTGGTAAAAGTACATCTGCTACAACACGCTTCATAGGAAATAATAGATACCGAGAAGCAGCATCAAATATTTCGTCTGCCTGCTCAATTAAAAAAATAAGTATCATCAACTAGCAGTATAATGCCTTGGTACTAATGTTTGAAGCCATTTACACCAAGATACCTGATCTGGATCTACATCCTTCAAACCATCAGTGTACCTAAAAACAGTTATAAAGGCATAATGAGTCCCATAGCAAGCTCTTAGTGAGAAAGATAGAGCACTACATCATAAATACAGGTTCTAAGAATTGAAACAGAATTGATCACATGACAAATTTGTACTGAGCAACAATTATAGTACTTCACTGAGTCTAAGCCTTAACAAAGCATAGGGACAAATAACATGGCATCAATGCAGCTCCTGTTACAGGACTTAATTGAGCAGACACCTCAATCTTATCTTCCAAAAATTCCAAAAACAAGCTAGACACTGATGCAAAAAATAAAACTTACATATACTCAACCATTTTCTCAAACACATCAGCACTCAAATCATGTTCTTCAAGACATGGAAGGGTATCATTAGGCAAGTCATTTTTCCCTTCATGAAAATCCTTCATACGGTATAATCTTGCCTTGAAGTAGTCTGATCTTGATGCTAGAATTACCTGGTGGCAACGAAAATTTTTTTTATCAACTCTCACACACATATCTGCAAGATCATCCATGGATTGACTTATCTGCATTGTGCTGAAACAAGATGAAAGTCTATCGACATAATTATCCAAGTTATGACAAATAGCAGATTTTATGAGGGAAATTTGAAGGAGCCGATTCAACGCATCTGGAAGCCTGTCTTCCTTAGGGAGGGACAAGCCTTGTAAAATATACCGTTTTTGAGAGTTATCCACATCTCTCAAAGCTTTGTGCTCAGCATATTTTTGGTGAATCATTTCTTTCTCAATAATCCTTTGTAAGGATTCACATTTGCAGACTTTGCAAATTCTTGCAAGGCCTTCCATATCATCTACAGCAACCTCTAGTCTGTCAGAATAGAAGAAGTGGATAAGGCTGTAGAGAGCTGGATATGACAACTTTTCCTTTGAGAACCTTATTTTGCCTCGGTCTTTCCATTCTGTCTCAAACTTTCTTTTAAAAAAGGGTGATCGGGCACTTAAGATAACTCTGTGTGCTTCAATAGGGCTGCCTTGAACAGCAAATACCACGTCAGGGGGGAAAAGGCTGGTATCAGATACTCCACTGGATGCAAGACCTACTTGAATATTAGATGACAGGTGTCAGATTCATGTTGGCATAGTATTCTGGGAAGAACAAATCTTGCATCCAAAATGAGGTAATAATATGTTACCTAACTAAGCAACCAATGCACTAACCTTTAGTTCATCCTAACAAATTAAAATTTGATATTCATACTGCAAAGTACTCATAAAAAAGTACAAAATTGAGAAAATAACAAATAGGAATTCAATGAACATCTGAGACTTCTACATGGTCCTGTTGTATCTCTATGTTTAGCTTTGTCCCTGCTATTTCCTCAATTCAACTTCTCATTACTAGTATTGACCAGCAAAGTCTATCATGGTGTATGTCTTCCATTTGTTCTGGCAGTCCAACCACCAAGAGGCCGTAGAATATTTTTAACTTCAATCTCAATCAAGACAAAGTAAGCTTAAGATCAACTTCCCTAAACTAACTTATGCAAAACGAAAGCAAAGTTTCCCAACAATGATCTTAAAACCAATCTTATTTTCCTTTTAATTTCGAACTTCTCATATATAACCATCAAGCAGATGCATCATCCCAATTCCCACCATCACAATTTAACTCCAAAAATTAAGACTAACCTAATCACTAATAACTACAAGAGGAGCAAAAAATTCACCTGGAAATGAAACTTTCAAGGCACCCTGGGCCTGCTCTAGATACGCCCGGTTTGCAACACACCCCAAGAAAGTTTGCCTAAGCGCGGCCTGCAAAGGTCCCAGAGGCGGTGGACGAGCCTCGAACGCCTTGAGCAACTTCCTAACCTTCAAATTCAACGCCGCATAGTGGCATCTGTCCCCATCAAATGTATGCTCGGAGCAGATAGCCCCATTCTCGAGCAGCATCCTTGCCGCATCCAGATGACCAGCAAGGCAAGCATAATAAAGCGCGACGGAATCCCACTGGTCACGAGCATTAACGTTGACGCCGGACTCCAGAAGGTAGCGGAGACGATCGACGTCGCCGGCGCGGGAGGCCGCAAAGAGGTCACCGTTGGGAACCTTCTTGAGCGGGAGGCAGGCGGAGAAGTCGGAGGACTCAAGGTCGATACCGTCGAGATCAGTATCGTCTACGGTCCAGGTAGAGGGCATGTGTAGGGGTTTGGAGTCAGTGATGGAGAAGAAACAACTGGCAGCGGTTCATTTTCTCACGTACGGGTTGTCTTATGGGGATATAGTGCAATTCAGCCCTTCTACTCAAGAAGTTGTGGTGGATCAGCCCTTGTACTTGAACGTAGGGCAAATCCCCCCTTTACTTCAAGTTTACTGGCAAATTAGCCCTTCTGTCGTGATCTAATCTCTTACTTTCATCTTTTGTTTTCTTGACATTTTAGTCGTTCAACTTAAATTTTGTTAAGAGAGTAATTCTTATTTTCTATCTTGCCAAATTCTTTAATTCTTCTAGAGCTATTGCTCTTCTTACCTCTAAATTAATAGAATTATCCCATAGTAACTCATCAGTTTTATAGGATATCATCCCTTCTATTTCAATCATCTTTGAAATAATTTCTATCTACATATCACAAAATCTAACTTCTTTTCTTAATTCTATTCATAACAAAATAGTGTTATAAGTTCTTCTATGGCTTTGATACTAGATTTTTGGAGGGGTTTTTAAAACCTAACTTAGATAATAATGGGAAGCTGGCATGTTAAGTTCAATAGAAGCAAAATTAGATCTATTAGCTGCTAATACACATGACTTTTGTTTAGCTACTTTTAATCTTTTCAAATCTTCATTTAAATTTGCTATTGTATGCTTTAATTTTTTAAGATTCCTTGATAAATAATATTCATTTGATTCTTCAATATTACTTATTTTTTTCTAAGATTTTTACTATTATGTTTTTATAATATTCATAAAATCAAGCATCTTTATGTTTTAAGCAAACCTTAAAATAGACTTTTCTTTTTGAAATATAAGAAGTTTAGTATTATTTTCCTATCATTTCTAACAAAAAATAATTTTTGTTAAAGAATAATAAAATTGTTTTTGTGCTCACCTTGCTTCTACATGATAAAATAAACAAGGTAGAATTATAGTTGAAAATCCTTTGGTCTAGCCTTTGGTCAAGTTGATGCCTCCTTCATCCAACCCTAGACACCATGCTTTGACTACAATGAGTATCCAAATTGGATAAGTGGCCTCATTGCTACCTAGGCTCCTTCAAGAACTCTTTCTCATTGTTTTTATGATGGAAATAAGGAAGAATAGAAACATAAAGATTATTCTAAAACATGTTGTTATTTTTGAGAATACAAAGGGAAAGTTTCCTTTCCCTTTGGAAAGTGTTTACAAATGGATGGTGGAAAGATCTTAGGCAAGGTATTTGGGTGTTCAAATGCCCAATACTTATTACAATTTATAAAAGGCCTTTTATGGTGCTCCTTGGAATCTTTTTCATACGTCATTGTTGACGTCTATAGTTTACAGTATTGTTTGGCAATCTAGACTTATCTTCTACTTTTGATATAGCAAACTATATTTTATTTTTAAAGGATCTTGTGAAGTCATGGCTAATGCTAGCTACTCCTCTTGTTTGATTTCTTCTAGTGACGTCAGAGCTTGCATCTTTCTACCTTAGATTCCTTAGAGGATGATGAGATACTTTTCGTTGTCTGAAGGAGTCCCTCCACCACATCCTACTTTAGCTTTTCCTTTTGCAAATTTTTTTTTTTAGCAAAAACCACAAATATTGTCATCTTTTAACAACTTACATAATCTATTGTGGGTTGCTTAATTGGCTAGAACTAAATTTTCAAAGATTTATTTTCTTTTCTACTTTAATTTAAATAAGCTAATGCTTGTCATTAATCTTGCTCCAGTGGGTACCACAAAGATTTCATTGGTGAAGCCATAAGTCCATGGCTTTTTCATATCTAGAATTTGATCCAAGTATAACTTTGAACCCTAGAGCTCTTCTTTCTTATATGAATTCTATTCCATTGTAATATCCCAAAATTTGCTAAAATCTTAAAATTTAAGTTAGAGACTTATGTGGGAGAAATTATTATTGCTAAGTCTAATAAATAAAAATTCATTAACCTAAGGAGGGTTAAAAGAAAATCTGGTAAAAAAGGGGTTATGGCTGATTTTCTTTTCCTCCTTGCCTTTTTGGTGATTCTCTACAACCCCTCATCAGAATTCTTGCCCTAAGAAGCCCTAACGTGTGCCCAACTTTTTCTCGCTAGAATTCAAGTGAGATTTAGTTCTTCTTTCTCCCAAGTATGATTCAGAGATTTAGAGATTTATAGACTTATGGCTCTAAAAATCATGATAAAATCTAGATCTTGTTGTTGTTGCTTTCTCCCATTTTCTAGTCTATGTTGGGTTCTATACAATGTATAATCTTAAAATGCTTTGATAATAAAAAGAAATTGAATATTTTTTTTTCATTTTTTATGGCAAATAATTCGTTATAATTAAAATGATATATGGTTTCTACATCCTTAAATGTTCCACAAACATATATAGAAACCTTTTCTTGAGAATTCTTTAAAGCTAGTCCTCAACAAGAATATGAGGAATTGCATTCCAAAATTAATTCTTCATCATCTTTAAGCAACTTTAACCTATGGGGATTTTTACAATATTCCTTGATCCTTTTCACATGATTAGTGTGATAAATATCCCATTGTTGGTTTTCCTTTTTTTTCTAAGCAATTTCTGCAAAGGATATCTTAATTGAGCCAAATTTTGTATGAACTACTTTGATAGTTAAATACTCTTTTGAACCTACTCTCTAGATTCTAATTTATTTGGGAATAATGAAATCTTCCCAATGAAGTGAGGTTGTAATTCTATTCTTGTGGAATCTATTGTTAATCCAAGGAATTCAATTTTGGGTTTTCTTATCTCTACTTTCTTTTCAAAAAGTAATATTTCATGTTTCTTGCATAAATATATAAATTTCTTAAAATGATATAAACATTCCTTCTCATTGTCTAAGAAAATTAGTATATCATCTATTTATATTTTACAAAATCTATTGATTGGTGAAAAATATTTAACATTCATTTTTCAGTCTAAAAGGCATTACTAATCATGCATAATATCCTATAGAAGCACCAAAGGCTATTAATGGAATACTTTCAGGAGTTAATTTAATCCACCAAAATCCTAATTCGCAATCAAAGTTTTCATATATTTTCTTTTCTCTAATACTATTCATTAGAGTTTCTTTATATGATAAAAAGTAACCATCAAATTTAGTCTAACTATTAAGATATCTATAGATAACAACCATTCCAGCTTTTCCTCTCTTTGTTTCACTATGATTTCTAACCATGAAGGCTAGGCTACTATGAGGACTCTTTGAAGTATGTATAATCTTTTGGGGTATTAATTCTTGAATTTGCTTTTCAAATTCTTCCTTGTTTTCAAGACTATATATCTCATTAACTTAACTCTAATAATAGTTTTTAGATATATTAATTCTATGGTCGCATAAGTTTTATCAACTTACCAAAACTTGGCAGGGTCTTCTACATGGTTGCCTTTTAGTTCTTCAGACATAGATTCTAGAGTTAGCCCAACTTGTACTTCATTATTCCATATGGCTAACACTAGTTTTCTTATTTCTTTTAGGTGAATTTTTCTATTATCCTCACTATGTTGACTACAAAAAATTAATGGTTCTATTAATTTAGCATAAGCATTATAAATTTTGGGGGCATAAAACTGATGTCAACTAGGGTTGTATAATTTTACATATGATACAGTTTGGACATATTGACTAAATTGGCTTAGAAAATTATTTCCTAATATAATATCATTCCCATGCTCATTACTTTTATAGATTCAAGGAACTATAACTTCAATTCCACCTATTATGGCAATAACTTTTTTTATTATTGTTTGGTATTGGACAATACTTCTATCTATGGCTATCCCTTTCATTGTTTAAGAGGTATTCTTCCAATAATAGCTTGGGAATACATTAGTTTTAACCAAATATATCCTACAGCTTGTATCTATAAAACCATGAAAGAATTTTGTTTTATATTCTTCATACTTGATTCCAATAGATATGTAAACACTATACATACTAGTTTTCATAGTATCTTGATATGATTACTTCTTCTCCACTCAAGGTGATTTTTAGACAATGTTCTTGAATATTATAAGGCTATATTGATATTAAGAATGTATTTCACATTAGTTCTATACTTGCAATCATTTTTGTTTCAGCATGAGTTGTTATATTGATTTTTTGTTGTATTTTATTCCTATCCTCTAATGATAAAAAAAAAAAAATTATGCTTATCCTCTATTCTAAAAGATACTTTAGCTTATTCATACACTATAATCACTATGCCATTAAAGTTATAATATGTATGTGTCACTCCTGCTCTTATATCCATTAGGATGGAAATGTTATGCCATTCCTTTCCATCATAATAATTTCCCCTTATTTTGAAATGTCTAGAAGGAATTTTTATAGTGTCTAAAACAATGCCACGTTTTATATTAGTTGATCTAATTAAGCTTTCATTTTTCTTCTTAGGATAGCCTATGGCTCCTAAATCTATGGTACTCCCATGACTTGGTCTAGTTTCTATTCTAACTAATAAGCGTCCTCTTGACTCATGCTACTAATTTAGGTTTGTCTTTTTCTCCTATTAGGTGTGGTTTCTCACTGATATCCATTTCTCATTCTTTAATAATTCTGTTTCAATGATCATTTCAGGTTTTTGAATTTGTCCTATTTTTGAGAACATAGGATCTAATTCAATATATTCTTTGTCTTTGAATAGATTGGACTAATGACTATTGGTTAGAGCATAATTTATCCTATAGTAAATACTATATGGCATTGAACCATCTTTTATAAAGTTTTCTTTAGCAAATTCATGTGCTAGACTTAATGTTTTGTTGATATTTCTATCATTAATATTTATAGCATATTTTGGATATATTGTAAATATGAGTTTTTGATCATTGAGGTTACCTTGAATTAATCCTAGTATAGCATCCCTTCTATCATTAATTATATTATCTATTAAAGCTAATTTTATTGGGGCATCTATTCCTTCTCTAAAATGAGCTTTAATTAGAATCTGGATTCCTCCAATATAGATAAATCCTATTTTTTATCCTTTCGACTCTTTGATTTTTGACAGTTTATTTT